GTGCACATAATTGAACAAATAAAAGGGTGGTATTTACATGACGTCTTTGCAAAGATTCTAAAATGCAGACGTGAAGAGGTGAGTTTTTATGTCCCTCTTGAACTTGGCCAGAGTATTCGACTTCCTAATACATGTAGCAGATGGTAAGCTATTCAAATCTCTATCATTGAACGGGGATTTTTTAAATTTGCGCTGGCTGAATACGGATTTAACCGATTAGCTTACAAACCGGCATGAACATATCAATTCGAATCATTATGAATACCAGCCTGATAAATGAATGAGATAAACATTATGATTTTTTATTTTAATTGCATAGCATACGTATTTTGTCAAGTAATTATATTACATAAATACTGTCCAAGGATAAAAAAAAAATACGATATGAACGCATTTTTATTTTCACATTTTTTCATGTCCACTATACTATTATTAACATTATTCAGAATGGCGGTAGGATCACTGTATTTAACACCCCTCTCTCTCTCTCTCTCCCTCTTTCCATCCTAAAATGACACCTACTTTTGAGTGAAATATTAAGATGATTGATTTAAAGTTCCTAGCTAATCTAAAGCAGAGCAGATATATACGTTTATAAACAGTTGGCGGTAAAATATGTAAGTAAAGCAGAATAAAGATACTCACCATGACTGTATATTGACAAGTGAGGAGGGACACACAGTAGAGTGTTAGTAATACGGTGGGAAGTGGGGTGACATCCTAACCCGTCAACAACGGAAACTCGTGTCCTTAATATGTTACTGTGTTACGTTCCATAAGTCTTATAACGGGAGTATAGAGTGTAAGTTTTATTATGGTGAAAATGAGCCCCTGATTCATTAGCCTTTGATCACATTACGATAGTCAACTCCCGAAGAATTTATCATACTGTTATGCATTTAGTAGCCGTTTAATCGTTCAAAGTGTACAGATGATTTGCTATGCATTTTATTAGCCTTGGCTCGTGGTCAGTGTCAGAGTTTTATAGTAGCTAAGTAGCCGTAGATTATTGTGATTGTGATATAGTTTAGGATCTGTTCATAAGTGTGACCGTCAGGGGCGTTTCAAGGATCTTGTTAACTTTTTGTTATGTAGCAGGATTTTGCTAAGGGGACAGATAGCAAGGAAGAGTTGAAGAGTTGGAAGTTGGAGAGTTGGAATAGAGGAGTAGAGTTGAAGAGTTGGATAGAGAAGGTTGAATTAGGGAGACCGAGTTGCGAGGTCTAGAGACATAGAGGAGAGTTAGAAAGTTGGAGAAGTTAGTAAGAATAGTAGTTTAATTGTAGTCTAAGGTCTGTGTAGTTTTACAGTTGATAGTAGGAGATTAGCTTGGAGTGGATAGATTGCGTTCACAATGTTGAACACTTGTATATTTTATGACGGATTTAAATACGTGTGTTGTAAATAAAGTGTAAATATCAATGTACAATGTATTTATTGTGTTGTTCAATTAATTTGAACTGGTGGCAGCGGCGGAATTATTACAGAAAGTAACACTGTGGGATAATATAAAAACGTAACAATATGTTCCCTTGTACAAATAAAAC